CTCCCATGGCAGGCGTCTTTATTTAGAACTTGACATTTTCCAGAAGCCAAGATTGAATTTGATGGAGCTGATCCCGTCGACCCCGCCTGGCCAAACTCAATGTCCGGCTAATTCGAATGGCTTGCGTGAAGGGTGGGATATATTTGGCACACCAGGTTTTGAACACGCGGAAACGAGCACGACGGGAACATGCAACCACACAACCACTGCAACGCGTGCGGACACTGAGCAAGCTGATGTCCGGAGAATCGGGGTCCTGGGAGGCCGGTATTGTACATGTCAGCTGCCTGCTTATTGGTCCGTCTGCTTTGAGGGGACGAAGGAAGGGAAAATTGTCGACGACGAATTGACGATGGGCGTCACTTGCATGCGGTGTGATTGGATGGCGGCCGAACACTTTGCTCCCAGCTTGGTGCGGAGAACGGAGTAGACTTGCAGCATTCATCGGCATGGCGTTACAGAGATGCTCCCGCCTGTCCTGTCAATTGATCTTGCATTGACTCCGATCGTCTACTCCGGATAGGGAGTACACATCTCGCGCCATGCTTTCGGCGTCGGTGGAACACGGCATTGTTCCGCAAGCGACTGCCCCCGTCGATGATGCGCATCGCCGTGCCTTGCGAGCAATTACACACCGTGAATGAGGCGCTGAGCGTAGCTGGAGCTAGGGAAAAGAGCTGATGTCCGTCAGACAAGCTCGGCCATTGTCACTTGCTGCGCCGCTCTGGGTTACCGCATTCAGCGTGTGCAATAACTACTCAAGTACTTAAGTACCATGCCGTTTGGCGGCACTGAGCAACTACATATGTACACCGAGTATCAATTGATACCTACAGTAGATATGTAAAGTGCCTCGTGCGGCCAACAGGCCAAGCGGTACTCGTCGCCTACATTGACGTCCTTGGCGACGGCATAGAACAAAAGCCATCCCACGGAGGGCCTTGAACGGTACTGTATAGCGCAAGGCTATTGTAGCGTCACGCCCCGTCCCGGCAAGCAAGTCTTGTCAATAATGAATGTTGACAAATGGCCAGCTCTACTAGCAGGGTCACAGAATACCGGTTCAATGTTGTTACTTGGTCAAGTCCGTAGTCCTAACCAACTCAACTCCACGCCGTCTCCAACGTCCTCCAACAGCTTCTTCAAGTTTATCCAGCGCAGCATGACATGCACACACCCTCAACACGCAATTACCAGTCCTCGGATGTATTTCCATGGACTCCGTCCGTGTAGCTTCCGCACATGATCTTGGATAGCAGCGGCGGCAATCCCCGTTTCCTAAATACCAGGCAACTACTACTAAGCCAAGATGCCACCTAGACGAGAAAGACAACAAGCTCTCTCTGCATGACCGGTCCGATGGCACGCTAGGCACGCTAGGTTCACGACGTTTACGGAAATGCGCATAATCTGCTACTAGTAGTTCCATTATATATTTATTTATAGGCCATCTCAGCCAACAGGTGTCATAGCAGTCCACGCAGGCCGCGCCCCTATTTTGCTTTTGCTCAAACGCAACCTCGATCTTGAAACTCTCCTTTCCACGCTGCACAGACCCCATCCATCCTCGCATGTGAAGAATCCACCTTTTGCATCAGAGTGCTTCTTTTTTTTAAAAAAAATGCAACATATTCAACATCTGCCGCAACCTCGGGCTCACCGCCGCCCATGTCTGTCCGTGACACAAAACGGGTATTTGGTACAAGTGCTTGGTAAACAGGTACTAGGGGGACATAAAAACAAATAGCAACGAATGCTTGCCAAGGCGCAATGCAAGTTTCAAGATAGGCGTAAGCGCCGGATAATGATGCGCCTCCTGACATACAACGCCAGCGCGATGCCTACCCCGAAGAAGATGGGCATCAGGTGGGCGTGGCCCAACATGGTGATGAGCTGCGCATCGTACGAGTGCCACGACGAGCTGCCCAGGTGCTCGAAGAGGGGAGTCACGACTCGGCCGTTGAGGCTGTGAAGAGGGCCGGGGAGGATCTTGTAGTCCTTTCGGTTGGGCTGCAGCGTGTGCAGGACAGATGCGAAATGGCCGCCGGTGCTGAACATGACGGCGGCGTAGGGCAGCCCGAACCACCGCCTGTTAAAGGCCGGCAGGTTGTCGAGGATGGTGCCGACAAACGGATTATGCCTGCTCGCCATGAGGAAACTGATTGAGAAGCCTGTCGGGTGCGCCTCTGGCGCGACAAAGCCGAAGCGCCTGAGCGGTCCGAGGGCGCGTCTACATCGCACGTCCAGGTCGAGAATGGCGCCGCCGATTTCGTACAGAATCATGTATCGCAGGGCGTCAATCCGCTCAATCGCGTACGGGTAACTGTCCCACATGTCCTTCAACTCTGGGAACTTCTGCTCAATGAAGGCGACGGCGTCGTCATCTGTCCACAGTCGCGTCTCCCAGTCGGGGTGTAAATCGACACAGCTCTGCAGCGCCTCTTCCCACTGAGGTCGCCAGTCTTCCCTCCTGGTGCCCAGGGCGATATGGTGCAGCACGGCGGGCACGACATCCTGGTACGGCTCGCCCGCGGTACGTTGGCTGCGTGTGTAATTGGCAAAAGTAACGTCAAAGTTGTCGCGCTCGGCGGAAAGAATAAAGTCGGCCGCGTTGGCGCGCCAGTGCATGTTCAGCGATATGAGCGCCCATGTCTGGTAGATGACATCCTGAAAGAGTAGTACGGCAATAAAGAGGATTACGGGTATTACGTAGAAAATCGGCCGAGATCTGGATGTGGGTGGTCGAAGGGGGCTGTGTAGGGGCATTGCAGCGCCGTGGACGTCCCGCGTCTAATCCGACGTCGAGATGCGGCGACGTCTGTGAATGCCAGCTGATGACGCGAGGAGAACTTTTTTTGCCAGTCGTATGGGCCACAGGGTAATCAATGCGATATAATGAATTGAGCAAGGACCAAAGAGAAGTACAAAGAAACAAAAAGGAGACGCAAATATGTATGTATGAATGTATGAGTGAGAATGATGGAGGAAAAGAAGTTTAGGAGGTGCCTGCCAGACGAAGGGGGGAACAAAAGCTCTGGTTGATTTGCGCATAAAAGGGATCCTTGGCTTGGTCAGACGACGCTTGGCACTTTATTCTTTGGGAAGTAACAAAAGTGAATCCAAGATCCGCCGTCGCAGCACGTAGACGATGGTGCAGTTGGCAACACTCGACATAGCAGCCGGCCCAGGAAAAGGCAACTGGCAAGGACTGGCAACGAGTCTGGTCCCGTCACCTTTTTAATGCTGAGCCTAGGCAGGTACTTGGAAGTAAAGTTAAGTAGTCATCAGCAGCTCTCGGCATGTCATACATACAGACATGGACCAGTTGACCTTTTATCGATGACCTACTGCTACTGGCACATCCTTTCTCGTCGTCATCAAATCCCTGGGCTCCCTCCCCACGCAAAACCCATTCTGCCACGCGGTGGCCATGGCTCCTTAGCCCGTCCGTCGCAGAGCTAGCTGCTAACTTTGTGTGCAATCTGGTATATCGGAGCAACCAAACTCCATACGAAGTACTGCTACTAGTACTAGATGATACAGACCACGCGCATGTCTTGGCACCGGCTCGCATGACCGCGCAAAAGGCGCAAAAAGCGCAGACGAGGCGCAACTGTGAGGGAGGTTCTCCAAGTAGTCCGTACAAGGCCGCCTCGTTCTCTGCTCTGCTTTCCTTACATGTACGCCAGGAGTCCGGCATCTGCGCCTTAATTCCCCGTCGTCTCTTCTCTAGGTCCGTATCTGTATGTACATATGTACGTACATACACGCCTCGCCTGCCTTGGTCTGGCCCATCTGACCTGTCCGGAGCGAGCCACGTAATCATGGTTCTTGAGCCCCCTTTGACAAACACCATGGCACTTATCTTTTCGCTGCGTGACAATGCTGGATGCCAAGATATTGGCGCGTGTGGGAGAGACGTTTAATTTGCCCAAAAGTGTGGAATCAATGTGGGATACGTTTGAGAAGTCCAGGAACAAGCAACAGAACAGCAGCGAAAGCGGGTCGCCATCCCACCCATCAGTCATTATACAACTCCATGCCCGTCAGAGGGGGCTTGGAGGCCAGACAAGGCCAGACAAGGTATAAATACGGAGTACGTAGCTCGCCTATTGTCCTGGACTCGGCTAATACCTTCAACTAGCCACAACCTTAAAACCGTCGCGCTTCTGTCAACATCACCGTGCCAGGCTCCGCAGCCTATTGGGTAGCGTCAACATGTTTGGCTCCAATCTTTTTTAGCTATGGTTATAGCACGGAGTAGCTGCGCGGCTCTAGGTGGCTTTTCTCAACACAGACTAGTACTCGCCCAGAACAGAACGACCCGTAGTGCAGGCGCCACTTTATGAGTCGGCTCGTCATTGGTGGTGGCTTTTGCCGAATCCATACGAAGTACCTGTGTTGTGGTGGCTGGACATGTTGACGGCGCCGATTCTGCTCCGTTGCCCGATCCCTGTACTACTCCGTAGTTGTACTAACTCCGTACTCCGTGGCCATAACAGAAATCTCAATATGCTGCGTCCGTGTCCTTGTCCGTGTCCCTGATCAAACAAATTCTAATACTAGCAGCATGGTCGACTGATCTGCATAAGGGGGAGTAACCGCGCCCGAGATGGAATTCAAAACAAAGGGGCCATGATTGTTTGAGTTTGGTTTTTTTTTTTTTTAGAAATAAAGAAAGAAAAACTCTTACCGGCGAAATCATCTTCACAACCTTTTTTGCCCGTCTTCCAAAGCCGCCGCCCCGACACCTTCCCGGGTCGTACATGCGGATTCAACCTTTTGCCGAAATCCGCGGATTGACCAACATGTGGCGCCCAGGTTTGTCAACTTCTCCACCCGAGCCGTGTGTTTCGGGCTCAATCTGATAGGTACCAAGACTTGCCGTAATCTGATCTAAACCACCTCGTTCGCCTATTCGCCAGCGATTGTATGATTACGTTGCTTCCTCGAGCGGTTTTAGCAGAGAGGCGCTTGTTTAACCCCGTAATTACTGTTGCTCATTGCCGCGAATCGATCGTCCCTTCTGGTGGGTTGTTAAAGTCAAATGGCTCAAAATCAAATCCACTGCCGTCCTGGACCTGAAGCTGAGCACTCAGAAACTCATCGGTGATCAATGTGCCGAGTTCCTCGTCAAAACTAGTCAGCGGCCCCGTCGTGGCGTCAGCACCGCCAAGCTCAAGCCCATTCATCAAGTCCGGCGCATTGAGAGGTACGTCTGGAGGCAGAGTTGTCTCGCGGCACTGCCTTGCGACACTTACGCATCGCGAATCTCCTTGACACATGGCAGGCTGTTTTGTATTTCGTCCATGGCTTCCGTCAGCAGAGACAGCGACCGTTCGATCTCGGGGTCATCCCACGATGATTTCTGGAAGAACCGCTTCATCATGACAGCTCCCGTGGCCGTGGAAAGCGTTTGTGCAAAATCCAGTGGGAGGGATCTGTACCGATAATAGCGAGCGTAGCTTCGCATGAGGCGCAAGATAGCCTGCAGTGACTCGTAACATATTTCAACATCTTCACTTTCTGAGATCCCAGGCTTTTCAAACATATTTGACGGTGGGCGATGGAGGATGATCATGACGGTGTGAAATAACATGCTGTCAAGTCCGTCAGGCTGCTTGCCGAGAATCCTCTACGCGGAGGGAGGCGGCTTTAGACTTACTGAAGGTGAAGTACAGGCGATGGCACCTGTCCTACTGTCCATTGATTCCAGTGCAGCGTTCCTGGCAGGCTCGCAAGCCATTTTGTCAGCGAAACGTGAATCTTGCGCGACTTGGCCGCTGCAATGGCTGGGTCAACATCCCCTCGCCGGTTTTCAAAGAGATCCGCGATCATGACGTGAATGATCTTGCAGAGCTCTGCTTGGTATATAAAGGAACCAACCAGCGCCACGCCGTTCTCGTACTCTGGTACTGTGGCACCCCTGCAAATATACGTTTCCAACAAGTTTTGCCAGTCATGAGGATATTGTAGTCTGATGGTGTTTCGCACATCCGACTCGCTGGGGTATAGAGCTGGAGGTCGCCCGAAGTACAGGCTTAGCTGTTTGTCGGCTATAAAAATTCCCCAGTAGACCCTACGGAGGATCTCTCGATCGCGGAAGGAGCTCGTGGATGCATCCCAGTTACTCGGGTCGAGGTGCAACCCCATTTCGTGAGCCAGTCGAAAAGCCATGCCACAAAAGAGCCATCCTTTAGATGTCTGCCCTACAGCGATTTCTCGGTGCCCCAGAAGAATCAGGGCCTGGAGTGTAGTGAGGTCGGGCTTGTCCAGTGTTGCAAAGAGCAGTGCTTGCGCCTGGCCAGAAAACACGTCGGATAATTTGAAGAAGTCGTCGTACAGGAGGGCCGAGAGCGAGCACATGGAGTAGAGCAGCAAGTCGGAATAATATCTCCCAGAGCCCACGTCGTAGTCTCTCAGGAAGTATTCCCGGTAAACCACCATGTTATACTGATACTGCTCCGTGAAGAAGGCAGCCATCAAGGTTTGAGAAGTTTGGTCATGAGGCGCATATTGAAAGCAGCCACTGCCACTGGAACTTGACTCCTCGAGTGCAAGATCCGTTATTTCCAGCATCGAGTTGACTTGGCAATCAGCCTGCACCATTGTGCCATCGCTGTTGGCTGACGTACGAGGGATCGTCTGAGTCTCGTCCCTGGAGAAGTGAATTTGAAACGAACTGGTTCCGCCAAAGAACTGTGCCGCGTTACCATCTCGCGGCCGTCTCAATTGTCCAGCGCGCAGCCGAGCAACCGCAACGCCATGGTCTCCAGTCGGGTTTGGCTGAGGCTTTTTGTCAAGCGGTGCGCCGTCCTCGGGCGCCGAGCTCAGAGACAACTCTAAAAGAATCTCATCTCTTTCCGTGCTATCTGCAATGGCCAACTTGCGAATCACTTGCTCCAGTGCACTGATTTGCCCTTCTAGAGCCTGGACGTAGCTTTTAGACACTGGTCTGAATCACGGTAAGCAAAATGCACAACAGGGCGGTGACTCGTAAAATTATCCCACCTCTGCTTCTCGCCAGTTCCTTGCAGGACGCATTCTGTTCCTGCTTTGATACATCTTGAACAGGGGCGCTTGCGGTCACATTTGATCTGCACGCTTTCGTCAGCTTTCGGATCATATTCTGGGTGCCGTTCTGCCCACCTTGCGACGGCGACATCGCTCACACCTAACGCAGATGGTTAATTTGTGAGCAGACAAGGGCCATCGTGGAACGCTTACGATGTCTTGATTGATTCCCCTATAGGTGTTGCCTCCATCACATCCAATCTTCAACCCCGACTAACTGACGGTACATGTATCCAGGCGTCGAGCCTATCCGTTGCTCGCTCACACTGAGGGAAGGAGCGAGTCACCCTACAGTCGTAACTTGAATCCACCACCCAGCCTGATTCAGAGTCGCACGTGCATCCAGTCACGACAATCTACAGCCCATCAGATTAAACCCGCGGACGCAGAATCAAGTATGTCGCGCTGCATGAAGTCGCTGTGTTGGTGCGTGTCGGCGGCAGCTCCTGGTGGAAACTCAGATCAACCATCACAAATTAGGTACCGACACCGGCATGACCGGGCCTCCCTCGGAGTCCCGCCGCATTTCATCCGGCAGACTCACTACAACGCCATTTTACCTATTGCCACAAGCACGAGAACCTGCGGCGTACTAGGCGACACAGAGATGGTATTTAAAGTCGACGACAGAATTAGACTCGCACAATCTGCAAAACCCTAAATTTTCTGTACCACACACCCTGCTAGCCCACGCATCCGCTTCCCAGGCGGCATCACCGCATCACCACCAGCAACCTCACAAAACACCAACAATATCCTCGTCCCTCAAGTCCAAAACCAACATATGCCCCGGCGCGTGCCCCAAAACCACACCCTCCAACCCCGCCGTCACAACCGCCTCCAGCGGCGAGACACCGCAGCCCCAAAACACCGGAACCTCCGCCTCGCCATCACCGCCGCCCCTCAAGACCGGCGCATCCCCCCATTCCGGCTCCCCGATATCCCCGATGCCCAACCTCGCAACCGCGTCCCACCCCCAATCAAGCGGCTCCCCGTGCGTGATCCCAAACCTCCCCGTCAGCTCCCTCACCCTCCCTACATCGCTCACCTTGTACATCCTCATCGAAACAACGTACGTGCCCCCCACAAACACACCCGCCGGACACAACGGCACCGTGGTCCTATACATGGCTACATTCCTGCCCAGCAGTACATGCTGGGGCGGCAGCCCGGCCCTCATCAGTTCGCTCTCGAAACTATACGAACAGCCAATGAGGAAAGCAACGTGGTCGTCTGTCCAGTGGTCCTTGACGTCTGTGACATGGGACGCCACGAGCTCGGAGTCCTTGTAGACCATGTAGCGTGGGATGTCTGTTCGTAGATCGCACCCTGTCGAGATCACGTCTTTGTCTTCAAGGCCCCTGATGCATGATTTTATGGAGGAGAAGGAGCCTGTGGTCGTGGACTCTGCGATTAGAGGGCAAGGGACTGGGTTTCGTCCACACAGCGCGCGGAAATCATTGGCGTAGCGAGATGGTAGAACAATCATGTTTGATTGAATGTATCCCCGCGATATCCCCGCTGTTGGACCTGTGTGCTCGTTTTCCCGTGCCGCTAGACGAGCATCTAAACCGGTGAATAATTCTGAGGCTTGCATCTTGAGAATGGCCACGTTGGCAGCTCAAGCTAAACACAGGGAAACTATTTATTCCAAACAAGTATTGCTCCGATGCCACTTTTTCATTGTATTTATATTGCGCAAAACCCAGCTTGTGCTTTGGCCATGTTCAATCATCAACGCCGAGTGGCTGATGCTGCATCGTCGCGGACTTCCGCTTCCGCTCCCCACCGCACATGCTGTCGACGCTATACTAGTCTCCCAGGCCCTCGTCAAAGGTACATGTATAATATAAAAGCCGCCTGGGAAGCTAAGGCAGTAATAAAATTGGGTATTGATATCGACCTTGAGGAGCTACTCATACAACGTCTAGCCAGATGCTTTTGACAATACCCCTACTTCCCAACAAGCCAACAAGTCCTGTCCCATAGACTGAATAACACTGGAAACCTAACCCAAGTACAAGGCCCATTCATTCAAGACCCCCAAAACGGACTTCCATTAGTAATCAAACGTCACTATTATTCACTCCATCGCGATGATCGATCCAAAGTGCGTCTCACATAAGATCGCAATGCTCGTCTGGCATCTATGGCCCAGCGCTTGACACGGTCCGCCACCCAGTCGGACTTGATATTGCTATTGGGTGGTTGTGTGCGATTATCAATATTGTTGAGATTGGTCTCGGAACCTTTCAGTGTCATATTGACTGAAATGTGACTGTCACTCTGCTCCAACTCCGGAATCTTCTTGCATTTTTTAGGAGGTTTAGCTGTGAATGACTCAGCAATGCGTAATCGAAACATGGACATCTTTTTGCGCAAGCCATTCTCTTGCACAGGACTCCTGCCCGAACTGCAGCTTGGCCTCTGAACGAGGGTGTCTTTGTTTGAGGAAGATAGAGACCGATTCTTGTCTGTATTGTCCTCTGGCGAGGGCGGGTAGGGTATACTGAAGGGATCAGACGGCTGGGGTGACTTGTATCCTGTGCTGCTTTGGCTATGCTGAGTCTCGAACGTAGACTGAACACACCCCTCAGACTGAGTATTACCTCGGGCATTGTCTTCATTTGCAAAGCGCTGCCCAGGTTTCGTTCCGATGCTCGAGTACAAGGCCAAATCCGCCAACGAATTGCACTGCTTTAACCGATTGACCCTGGTGAAAGGTTCACCTGTGGCTTGCCGGCCTTGGCCAAGTTGGCTTCGTGAAAGCTTGAGTTTTAGTTTCGGCTTTGCTTGTGCAGTTGATTGTTGTGACACTCCCTGTATGTCTCCTTTGATATGGGCACAATTGATGTTGCCGAGGCCACTAACCGGTGAATAGGATGGCTTGATCCGAACTTTGAACTTGGAGGGACTGCTATGCTTGCCTGATTGTGGTGGTTGTTTCAACCCAGTTGGTACTGGCTCGGCTAAGTGAATTTCATCGTCCTCTCGAACCATGTCATGTAGCCTAGAACAGTCACATAGCGGTTGTTCATCTAGCTGGTCATCCCATTTCAGTAAAGGGTGCTGATTCTGACTTCCCTCGCCTGGCATTCCTGGAGGCAATGGTGGAAGAGCTTTCATTAGCTGCGGGATACTGTTTTTTACCTTGAGTCCACGAGCAGGAGAGATTGGCTCTGGCGATAGGATGTCCAGTTCTTGCTCATGCACAGACTCATCTTCGATATGCCCAGATTTATCATTCAACTCGGCAGTATTGATTCTCACAGCTGCTACATTGCGACGATGTCTCTGATTGCCGAGTTTGTGGTTTGTTGATGCAACACTGTTAGTATCACTCTCATCTGAAGGTTTCTGGGCAGAAATGTCCGCCGTTTTCAAGCACGGAGATTTGCCCAGTAAGTCAAATGAAGAGAATATAGACGCAAAATCAGGCAAGGTTGGATCAAGGGCACATCGAGCAACGAGTGATCCCTGTTGAGCACCTAGTGTATTTGGATGGCATTCAGAGTTTGGCTTGGCTTCCACCGCTCTCAAAGACTGGCCCGATTTGGAAAGTCTTGCCATATTGACGCTCATGTTGTGCTCATCGCTTTGAAGCAGGCTTTCAGCACTCTTTGATGCTTCAGGGTCTGCAGGCGCAGACTGAGATAACCGCCTGGCAGCGATGAGATTACTGAGGTCGGTGTCGTCGGCGTCACTAGATCTTGTCGTTTCTTCTTCCAGCTTTGGGCCTGACTTCAGCTCCTCCTGATTCCCTGTACTGTATTCCAGACTTGAGTGGGAATGGGGTGTAAGGGTGTCGACGGCGGCATCTTGGTGATCAGGTCTGTCAGGCTTTGGTTTCACTGCAAACTCATCATAGTTCCGACCCTCGTCATCCTGAATGCGGGGAGACTCCATCGAAATTTGGCTCTTGATGTCATGGTGAGATGCAGTCGGTCTATCAAAGTCCTCGCTGTAGTCATAGTAGAACGAACCGGCCAACTGTGGTGGCTGTCTTGAGCCCTTTGCAGTGCTAGGTCTCCGATACATGTCAACAATAGATGTTAGACTAGGGGATCTTCCGCAACGATCAACAGGCATTCTCGCATGCCTCTCAAATCGTCCATATCTGCTTGCGCCAGATTGCGAGGAGCCTGGGGTTCGAGCCCTGTGAGACATGGGCCCTGAGTAGTACGGCCCTGGGGATGCTCTTGAGGGCAACGATGCCGTGGATCGATTGAAGTCCGGCCGAAGAGACAGAGGAGGTGGCCTTCGCGCCCAGTTGTTATATGTTGAATTGTAAGACCCATGAACGGTTCTCTGTAGGCATCATTAGTTTCCATCCCCCAAGGTTTCGTGCCAAGGTAGGTCAGCTGTACCTGTGAAACACGATCAAGTTCAATCATTCGACTGTAATCAATACACCCGTTTTCTGCTAATGCAGGAGACGCAGGTCGCACCCCTGGCCTCTTGAGCCGTGTTGGATATGGAAATGGTGAACGTGGCCGTTGCAGTCCACTTCGGCTGGATTGACTCTGCAAAGTCCCCGAAGATTTCTGGGATGGAAGCTGACGAGAGCTATTCGTTGTGATGGAGTAAGATCGATGACTGATGTCATCAAACATTGGAGAACCTGGCGTCATGTAGAATGCTTGATTGTCATACCCATAGAGCGAAATGATCTCAGATGTGGTGTCTCTATAAGAGCGAAAATGTCTGTGGTCATCGGCGTAGTAAAAGTTCTCACCCTTTCTGGGTGTGTACTTGGGAGGAGTTGTCCCCTCAAGCATGTCTGGCCTTGCCCTGGGATGCTGATGATAAGCTGCAGGAGTCACCGATGGTTGAATGGAGAAGACGCTAATATCTCCTGTTTCGGTGGTTGTCTTCAACATGCTTGTGAGCGGCCCCGGGGACGGGGGCAATATCGAATTGAGACTGGCATTCCGTAGTGCACGTCTTTGATGAGGTTTTTGTCCCCTTGGAACGCTTGTCGATGGGGGAAGATGGGAACCGTAGGAAGCGTAAGTGCTATGAAGTGAGCCGTTGCTGGTGGTCTTAAAACGGGACTTGGAAACATCCATGGTAATTTCATGTAAGGCCGTGGCCTGCTAATACATAGAACTGGGCGAAGATATAACGATAGACTGAAATGAATACGGCAATGAGACAAATCTGAACAACAAGGAGATGATTGGGGCCACGGCAAAATGTGAATTGGTTGGCAGTTTCGAGGACCAAATACTGGCTTGCAGTGAGACGTCACAGTTGGATGTTGGTAGACATGGTCGTCCAAAAAACGTGGTAATGGGAGAATGAAAGACAAATGGAGACGAAGTTGCTACGGGCTTGATGTAGAGGCAGCCCGAATCTTAGCTCGTTAAACCGAGCAGCTGTGACAAGAGATGAGCGAAGCGAGAAGTCGCTACACATCGTCAACCTCGCATGATATCATCGGGTCGGCAACAGCGCGTCGCGGGCGTTGGCAGTGCTTGGTGGCCATGCATTCACAAGACCGATACCCTTCCTGCTTTGACAGGGTTGCCATACCGACGGCATGATGAAGAGATGACAGAAATCTCGATCGGTCGTCCAGGACATGGTTTCTCGGGCGATGTGAATCGAGTCGCTTTTTCTGAAGAATTTACGCCTCACTTGCAGGAGCATTCAGGGCGAAGTCTGTACGGAGCGGGCTTGAGGTTTGCCAAGGAAGGAGCTCCAGGCAGGAAGTTGAGGAAGGAGGTCCATATGTGCACGCCTATCTACCGCCTGCTTCATCTGCAGTCGAAGTTGGCAGGAGCGACACCGAACCCTGACAGCTGCGTCTCGATAATATCTGCATCTACTTGTGAACATTGAACAGTCGAGGCGCAAGTGTTTCGTCACTAGTCCACTTCTGGCGGTCGTAGGTGCATCCATTCGCTCTTCCTTAGACGGTACGGAAAAGTATGTGCTAACATCTCAGGGCGCAGAAAGCTACACGGCGCGATGAGTAGATACAGTACTGTGATGGCGAAATACCCACCTTCTGGTTGAGCCGTACGGACCGACCTTCGAACGAATCTCGCGGCGAGCTCTATTTCTGGGCCCGATCACAATCGGAGCATGCCTTGATGTCTCTCGCAGATGCAATCAATCATTGCTCACCGGTGTTCTACGCATCGTGGACGAAGCGAGCGCGTAACGAGTTAGGCCTTTGCCGAGGTCATCTGACTCAAGACAGGGAGGTGGTCGAGACAACAGCAATTTTCCATGCCCCCAGCGTGACAGCAAGGTCCCCCCCGTGATACTGTTTTCTTGCACAGGGCCGGAATGCAGCATTCCTTTTCGTCTTTGGACAATGGAAAAATGGCAGCCTGTGCTGTGCTGTATGTACGCCATTCTCTGCTACTCAGAGTGTAAGGCCCGGGTCTCACTATAGCGACCAGCACCCACAACACTCCGCACGTAGTACGTACAAAGAGATGCATCAAGAGTGCTCCATAATGCTGACTCAAAGCAGAACCTACCAGTCATGCCACGCATCCGCAAGTGAGTGGGCGAAACAAACTCCAACTACCGAACACTGGTCTGTGCTTCACCTCTCACAAACCGGACAAGGGACATGTCAACGGGCATCTGGGCTCTGGGGCTTTAACACATGGATTTGAGCGTCCTGACTAGCTCACGTGCTGTTCTGCTCAAGGCAGAAAGAAATACTACCCAAAACAGACGGATAGAAATTGACATGTCTCATGCTCATGTTTGTTGTCTTGAGGCAAAGAAAAAACATTTTCCCTTAGTTTAATTACACCCCATGATTTGCCCTGCTGGTCTCCGGCCGCATCCGCTTTCAACTCGTCCTAGCCTAGTGTACATACATAAGTAGTAGTAATAATACCTGACATATGCCATTAATCTGTACGGTACTACAGCGTAGTACTTCCTGTTGAATACTTCGTACAATAAACTAGTACTACTAACCTTGGCCCACACGATGGGATGGAGACTGGCGAAACATGTCTCCTACTATTGTTCCGATGCATCCCTGTCCATGACTAGAGTGATGTTCCTGCCGGCCGGCCAGTCGGACGAGTTCATGTCATGTACATACATGTGCCTCTCTCTTTCAACCTCCTGGATGCCAGCCAGTTCGCTTCATGTCTAGTCTGGATGCACTTAATTATTGGCCCTCTCCTTTCCTTTGAGAAGCCCAGAATGTGGCCGGCTTCTGGGGGGGTTGGCGTGCCTCTCAATAGGCATCGCTCGTTGCTCATTTGTGCGTCGGTTTTTTCTGAACTCATTGTCCCTCCCCTCTCAAGTTGACGGAGACATGGTGGTTGAACTCTAGCGCCTCATGGGGAGATCCAACAAAGCCGGGCCTGCGTTTGGCTGCTCGGAGGTTCGCAGATCCACCTCGTCCTAGCCGCCCACATGTTGAAGAAGCTTGGTGCCTTTCTAGCCTTTTAGTCAGGGGAATGTGGTGGGTCTTCGGCACAATGGCAGGCATTTCGGCTGTCTTGGGGACCAGTGGACACAGCAGGGTCCTGTCGCTTGTCACCCTGTCACCCATAACCCCTCTCATGGCCCCCACGGCCCCCGTCACCCCGTCACCCTGCCCCCTGTCCCCTTGTCAGTCAATCCCTACCCAAATTCAATGTTTGGTCACTTCACCTTCTCCTGCTCCATTGAGCACCGAGTCGACCAGTGACATGGCATGTGCCTGCAAGCCGCTCTTGGTTTGGTGTGCGTCTTCTCCTCTATTTCCCCTGCTTCTCGACGGCTTTCCCCCGCTGTTCTGTGACTCGAGCCCTCGATTGTGTTAACCGACAGCTATTGTACGGAGTACTTTTATTCCAATATTGCCTTGCCGTCTTCCTCCATTCCTCCATCCGTCTTCTCTCTTGCTTAAACCTCTCGCCACATTCTACACTTGTTTCTCTCGGGTAACGTATCCTGAGTCCTGACCATTGTACGCCTTGCGCATTACTTGCCAAGCTCGAATCTTTCTACCCAGACATAATCATCTCCACTTCAAGCACCGAGTGCGAATAAGACCAATGGCATCCAAACCCGAGTTACGCCTCACCACAACCATGCCGGCAGCCAACTCCGATCTCGAGGCCAAGCAACCCCGAAGCGCACTGCGCAGCCCTCGCTTCCGCGAAGATTTCGATGCGCCCTTCTCAGAGGCCCTCCTAAACGCATCAACAATGACACTCGCCACCGAGAGCGATAAGTCGCCGCTCTCTCAGCACCCCAGCGACATCTCAATCACTAAGCCGGCTCACTCGCCCCGCCCCACGCAATCACGCGAAGATAGCTGGTCATCCACAAACTCTAGCCGAAGCGCGAGCAGCTCGAGCTCCGGCGTCAATGACAGGTTAAGAGAATGGGCTCGGAAGTCGTTCTTGGGGCTGAGGCGCTCGGACGACGGGGAATCCTCGCGGCCATCATGATCTGTTGCAGATGCAAAGTAAAAAAAAAGACAAAACACCAAAAAGCAAACGACACCGCAGCTATGCTTTTATCCCGAAAGAGATTCATGACGTATTATGAGCGCTATGCCCACGACTATTCATGTCTTTAGAATATGTGACCCTCCTCGAGGCAGTTCGCAACTAAAGAGAGAGAAAAAGGCAGGGAGGACATCTATGACTGACACAGCTATGTTCCCCCCTTTACTAAAAGGCGTTTTGATGGACGATTTACCATGTATATAATTTTATATACCTATCTACTACGGCGACACAGCCGCTTTTTTAATGATGCACAGTATTTGTTCCATGCCGGGCCAAGTTAAAAAATAATACCTACTCGTGGCTAGAATACGCCTCCGCCAATGATGAATATCCTCTGCTCTTCCTTCTTGGCCCACTGAATAATCTTGTTCGCGCCCTGAGTCATGGCCGCGCGAGACAAGTTTGGTCCCCCGATGCAGTAAAATTCAAAGACGGGCGTGATCCACGCTAGACAAGTCGCCTCCTCGCTCGAGCAGTGCAGAACCTTAAGATGCGCGTGTTTAGCGTGCACAGAGGCATGTAGCTCGTGGTATAGCGACAGTAGCCTTCGTCTCTCGACGACATGGGCGAACAAGGGTTGTAGCGACGACATGCAAAACTGCACATTTGCCCGAGATTTGTACAGGAAGTGGCTGACTTGGCTTCCGGGTGCAACTTGCGACACGGCAGGTCGGCCGGCGCGCGCTGCCTTGCGAATGGTGGCTAGGCTGCCGCTTTTCGCCAAGGCCTGCGCAACGTCGTCGCGCATTTGCTTGAGGCTGAAGAAACTCTCCTTGTCTGCGCTTATGAGGATCATGGCTATCTCTTCGCTGGGCGTCTGCACATTTGTTGGACTGCCTGGCGGTTGCACTTCCGGCGAGTCTTCGAAGAAGCTGACGTACATGTACAAATAGCCCTTGTTGTTGAATGCAGGTAGACAGATGGGAATCCAGTTCTCGCCGCCGCCGCCCTTGATGCCGTCTGATTCGAAGAGCATGTTGAAGATGAGCCGCAGGTCACTGGGGTGGAGAGAATGCCGCCGCGGCCGCACGACACTCACGAGTTTCCCTCCAGCGACGATGAGCCCGTAGAGCAGCTTATCGGTTCGTAGCTTCAAAAAAGTATTGTTGATGGCGTGGCGCTCAGACTTGCGCAGCTTCAAACACTCTAATGAGCCTAGGAGGGTCGATGCAGAGCCAAGTGTGAATGAGTCTGCCAAGGAGGATAATAAGGACTCTGTGCCTTGGAGTGGTTTGCGCAAGTCGGACGATGGTCGGTTGACGAATATATTCTTTAGCGTGGGTAGTGTCAGCGTTGACAGAATCTGCATGTATAACGCCTCGAGCTGGGACCGAAGTTGCGCATCACTCTCGCCGAGCTTGCTTATAGCCACGAGATGAAGAGGGCCTTGGGTCAACACCACGAATCTGGTGCTGCCCGCTGTGAAGCCTTGCAAAGGGTTCTTGGCTCCTTCATAGAATGATATGATTGTCTGAATAACTCCGATGGACGAGTTGATGAGGTCGAGGTCTCCGTGACGGCTCCAAATAGGTTTTCCGGCAGATGACAGGATCATGTAATGCTTGAGTTTTGACTTCCACATTAATACTCGCTCTTCGTCTTTGACATTCTCGTCCTCTTGGGATGGAATGGGCTGGAATTCATCCTCGAAACCGGCAAGTCCATCCTGAGCCCCTGAAAGATGTCGTTGGAATGGCTGGACTGTAGCAGACTGGGCTTGGAGCAAATTCCACGCTGGAGTGCGCTTGTGAAAGTCGGAGACCATTAAGCTTGCAATGTCCCCAGCTGGTCGCATGGTCGGCGCAAAGCTCATCATGCTTGCAGCGTCATCAGGCCCTTCCCCACCAGATAGGCTGGCTTTGTATCCTGGGGAATCATAACCACTGCCCACGGGGGTGGAAACTGACCTGTTCCCGGGCGTTGAGAATGTTCCCCGAGTTCCGTCCGGAAAGGAAAGCGTCTGGATGTCCACAGACGTCAACGCCGTGGTAGGCTGGGCCTGCAAGCCTCTCGATTCTCCAGTTGTAGCTACAGCTTTGCGAGGGGGCAACGGGGGAGGCTGCTCCTCCTCTTCGGTGGGAGGTTTAGTCTCTCTGCCCATGATACTGCCGCGGATGGTAGTTGTCGCATCTCAAAGGGGAGGTCACGGGGCAGGTGAGTGATGTCGACACGGCTTACACTACAACGGGTAACTAAAGCGCCCGAAAAATGGTGGTAAACTGTCAAATAGACCAGGACATGGTTGTTTTTGGCTTTGGAAGCCGACGACAGTGAGGATGAGGACGGGGTCGAGGCCGAAGGCGTGGATGAAATGCACATGTGCGGTCACGTCTGCCTGAGGGGCTGTGACGTCTTGACATGTCTTGTAGCAGCAGCTGGCTCGTGGCTCGAGGTGGCCTTGCGCCAATGGGCAACCCTGTGGCTTCTACCAGGTTAGCAGCAAACCAATCACAGACGTTCCAGCCACACGACCCCTGCGCTTCGACCACTCTTTTGGAAGTGGTGGCTTGTGAAACGTAGCCTCACATCAGTCAACTGATGCGGATGCGTGTCGACCTGAAGGATGGATGGTCGCGAATCCACCCCACGTCACCCTCCCTTGATAGCTGTACTGCTCGGTCTAACACACGATCCTTCGGACCAGACGTTCGACAAGCGATGCCCTCAGGATACCACATGATCCGATTGCTTCACGACCATGGCGCTTGATCCGGGATCCGGCGCCATTGCGGGCTCGCCTGAGAGTTCCGGCCGGGATTCTCCCATACCGCGTCAATGGAGAAACCAACTTGGAGGAGGTTAGCCACCAGGCAGCACTGTTGTAATGCCGAATCGATGCTAATGCGTGGGAACAGAGGAAATCCCGATCAAGGACAAAGCTTATCGCAGATATGCTGCTGGTGTTGAGAAGACACTTTCGCTGTTTGAAACCGCCCTCGAGGAATGGGCAGACTATATTTCCTTTTTGAACAAGCTGCTCAAGGTATGCTTTGCGCCAACTCGTCCAGGAGCTTTAAATATCATCATATTTTCTGACGTGGTTGTGACTAGTCGCTTCAAGCTCGGCCACCATCGTTTCATTCCATTCCAACCAAGGCCCTCGTTGCCAAACGTCTTTCGCAATGCCTCAATCCCGCTCTGCCATCGGGTGTACACCAAAAGGCCCTCGAGCTGTACAACTATATATTCACAACGATAGGGACGGATGGCCTGTCTCGGGACCTGCCCCTATATCTCCCGGGCCTTGCGCCTACACTGTCATTCGCCTCACTGTCTGTCCGATCGCCGTACCTAGACCTCTTGGAAACCCACTTCCTTGACCTCGACCCCAGATCGCTACGGCCAGCCATGAGATCTATTATACTTGCCTTGCTTCCTGGATTAGAGGAGGAAACAAGTGAGGATTTTGATAGAACATTGCATCTGGTGGCACGGTTCAAGGAAGCCATACGGCCTCGGGAAAGTGTGAGGCTGGGAGAGCACCATGCCTCTGGAGACGATTTCTTCTGGCAGTGTTTCTTCCTAGCTGCCATAACTAGCCATAGCCGCAGGTCTGGAGCCTTGGCTTATCTTGTGCGCTATCTACCTAAGCTTGGCCCGACTGCCTCCGCTGGCGCTGGGGAGGAAGGAATCACGAAGAGCCTGCACGCTATCGTAACGTCACCCGAGCCGGGCTTACTAGTACGATGCTTCGCAAGCGGCTTAGGTGACGAGCAGCTGTTAATTCAACGCGGCTTTCTCGACCTTCTCGTATCGCATTTGCCCCTTAGTTCGGACGTTCTCCAATCTCGGGTAAAGCCAGCGGATCTAGAGCTGCTCGTGAAAGCAGCAGTTGGTGTAGTTACCAGACGAGATATGAGCTTAAATCGTCGTCTTTGGGCATGGCTGTTAGGGCCTGAGCCGACCGGTCAAGATGGCGACCATAATGAACAAAACCAAGCCTACCTATCCTCGCGAACGACCTACTTCGAAGACTTCGGGCTGCAGCCTCTCACCAGAGCGCTTCTCCAGATGATTCAAGGTGCATCTCGTGGTAACAGCGCCGAGCGAGCCCGTCCATACAGAATTTGTCTCTCTCTCATGGATAGATGGGAGATTGGCGGCCTTGTAGTACCTGAAATCTTCATGCCGGTTGTTGATAGTGTCCGGAAGTTCCAGGCCCAGGCCGCCAGCAAATCCGAGTTCGACGAAGTTCTCCGTAGCGCCAGCGTTTTCTTCGATGGTATCGAAAGTGGCTTGATTTACAGCGAGATTGTTGGCTTATTGGCTCAGGCAATTGGACCAGGAAGCCTCATTGCAAGGGATCGCATGGATAAGCTTGCGTTGGTCAACTTTATCGTGTCCAGCTTTAATGTTCGCGAAGAGGAGATGGTAACAATTCACGCGCCGCTGACATGTTTGGCGGCGTTGTTGATGCTGGAGGACTCCAAGAACCGCAAGGCGAAGACGGCCTTGACAGATATCGAGTCCGAGAAGCTGTGCGACCAAGTTCTCGGCGCCGTTGTTTCACTATTGGAACTTGTTCCTGAACGAGCATTCCCTCAGAGACTCGAGCAAAATGGGAATCAAAAAGACAGAACAGCTTTGCTATCGACATCCAATGTTGAGCTCTTGAAAAAGATAAAGACGTTTTATGTACATGAACAGGGCAATTTGGAGTCATCACAACCCCCTTTTACTGCTGTAGAATCAGGGGAGTTATTGTTGGAGAAGGCCGTCATTTACATTTGCGATGACTCAAAGGACTCGCCTGTGAACGACATCGCGATCCGCGTACGAATCTTGACTCAAATTCTTTCCAAGACGCCTGGAAATTACCACTTCGACGCAAAACAGCTTGTGTCATACCTGCATGGCAAGCTAAGCAAGTCGCAATCCCTATTGTTCCCTCATTTCTCGGCCATGGTTATGTTGTCAACACAGCTATATTCTGCAAGAAGGATTCAAGAAAAGGAGTTTTCTGACCTCATAGGACCATTAGTTCGCCATGCCTGGTCCTACTTGTCCGCTTCTGAACCCAAATACCACGTCGAAACCGTGCGTTGCTTGTGGCAATTGCAAACGGTACTTACCTTGTCTGGTCGTGACATTGAGGCCGCCATTGCTGAAATTCTGACCAAACCAATGGCAGGCCCTGAGAAGACGTCTCATTCGGCTGAAAATGGACGAACCTTTTCTGTACTGTGGTCACATAGTCTTCAAGATGTGTCTTCTGAGCGTAGAGGCTCCAAAGGCCAGACACTGGATCAACGACAAATACCACGTCTGTCTGGCACCGATCACTACCAGGTCATGCTCACACAGCCCATGTTTTTGGTTTTGGATGCCCTTTTGGACGACAGGACACAAACGTACATGGTTGTTAAATCATGGCTGAATAGTATGATTGGAATCGACAGGTGAACATCTATACACGTCTAGTTTCGTCTTGTGGTGCATGCTGATTGTTACAGGCTGTTTCTGATATTCGCGATGAAGATGGCTCAATTGCCATTCCTCAACCATGTCATCACCCATCGTGCAAGCGAGAAAGTCAACTCCCAGCCAACCACATTCACAGAAGATGATGATTTGGATTTGTGTCTCTACTACCTACGAACGCTCCACAATGTCCTCAAAATATCTGGTGATATGTCCAGAACGGTATTGGCATCTAAATACGTCTCTTTTAGTGACGGCTCGGCTCACATCAGGGGTATGTCATTGTTATCTTGCTCAACTTTGGTTTCCTTGCTGACCATACATAGCTGGAGCGGAGGAAGACGAAATGACGCTTCAAGATTACTTCGTTCGTGTGTGTATGATATGTGTTATAGGCGAGCGGCCATCATCTTCCAGTCCCGAGTTGGGTGAGCGGATATGCCAACTGCATCGATTTGCACTAACAATTCTCCATCAATTTTTATTCAGCCGATATGCCGCTCCCCTGTCCAGCCTTGAACTGGATCATATCCTTGTTGATAAACTCTCGAAATCCATCAACACCCCCGACCCCTACGTCCAAGTATTATTGCTGGATGTTGTATATGACACCGTTAAACTCAGAAACATGGCGTTACATGACAGACAGTCGGCAGAAATCTCGGAGAAGAGACCTGCGAGTGCGGACAATTCCAGAATGGGGCACTCATCATTTTCATCAAGCGAAATCCAACCAACAGGTCCACCAATGCCTCCGGCTTTGCTCAAATGCTTGCAGGCCGGACTGAGCTCGCCAAATAGCCAATCGGTCCTTGATAGCTGGATATCGTTTCTTGGCCAAATTATCGCCCTCTATTCGCAGAGCATTTTTCAAACCGTAATTCCCCTGGTCGAGACGCTGTGCAAGCACATAGGATCCACGTTTGCTGGCCTCCGCGACACTTTCCTAAGCGAGCCATGCGAAACCATCACGACAGGGAACACACCCGAGTCGACATTGATCTACCTACTCAACGGGCTGGAACAAGTCCTGGCTTTGGCGCATGATCAGCTCCTCGCTGAAGAAGCCCGCATCCAGTTGATAAAGGGGCCTGAGCAACCATCATCGCTATTCGGAAGCATGGTATCTGGTGTTTTCCAGTCAGAAGGTCCTCAATCACGAAGCGCCTCGGCCAATGATCGCCTTACTGTTCATCTCGCTTTTCAAGATGCGATGCGCATCTGCTATGCGATATGGTCTTGGGGTCAAGGCGATGACTCCAGGAAACAGGATTCTGGCTCCTCAGCGTCTTTTGGCTACACGTCTTTACGTATGAGAAACCGTGCTCGCAGATTAATGGAACACCTCTTTACCGCAGAGATTTTGGAATGTCTAGAGACCGTCATTGACATCTGGCGAGCTTCTGGCAGCGACACGGAGCGGACACAAATTTTCAACTTTCTCTCATCCCTTGATGCATGCCGACCGAGGCACTCTATTCCCGCGCTGTTTAATGCAATTTATAGCCGGACGAACCCTGGCGCCTTAGATCCAGCCCGGAAATCCACCCTGACAATTTCCCTGCAAGATTCCGATCTTGTTGTGTTTCTTGTCGAGTATAGCAGGTCTTTGGAAGATGACGCCATGGACGAGATTTGGCAAGACTGCATGACATTTCTCAAGGACCTTCTCGGGAACCCATTCCCGCATCGCCAGACGCTGCCCGGTCTTCTTGAATTCGCAGCTATTCTCGGTGAAAAGGTGGACAATACCAACTTCGGAGAGCAGAGACGGATGCGGCGAGAGTTGGGAGTGAGTTACATGCATACAACCAACCCCCCGCGGAAGGATAGCATTCTACTGACACTATTATAGGATATCTTCCTGCGACTACTAGCTGCTTTGTTCACGACTCGACCTTTAACGTTTGCAGAGTCTGGGAGCCTCACCAATATCCCGGAAAAATCCAAGGCGGATGGCCCACGAAGACAGGGGTCGAGAGGAGATGGGCCTGACGACGTCGTCTCAGTATTGGCATCTGTGGTACCAAACCTATCCAAGATCCTTCTTGAACCCGACCGAGTTCTCTCTGCTGCTGGCACCATCTCGACCAATGTTGTTGGGCCGACTTTGCGTTCCAAGTCATTCCCAGACACCGTAACGTCTAATACTTTGAGACTGTTTCACGAGCTGTCGAGACTGCAAAACAACCAAAAGACCTGGAAAAGGGATATTGGGGACTCATTTAACGACAACCGCTTCTTTGGGATGAACCTGGATCTGGTCAAGGATGGATGGCTACCCTTGCTTAAGCAGTGGGTTCTCACGGACAAGGAGCGGATGCCAGAAATCGTAGCTCGCATCAGTGCTCCAACCACGGCAGGCATAGTATTTGGCGTGGGCGCAACCTCAGCGAGACTGGAGGCAGACAGGAAGACACAGCTCAACCTGCGCCGAATTGCAACGCTGGTTCTGGCCGCTGCGGACGATGGCTTCGTTGCAGAACTGCCCACCATCTTCGACAAAGTGGTTGAATTACTATCAGCCACATCAACCTCCTCTCCATCGTCAACAACCCGAGCCGATGTATACATGGTCATCCGGGCGTTGGCTCTCAAAACCAGCCCGATCCACCTCGCCATGACGTGGCCCGTCGTCAATGGCGAGATCCACGCCGCCATCTCATCCGTCGTCGCACCAGATCACAGCGCCGCATCGGACATGTATCTCAACAGTGGCATTTTACAAGCGTGCAAGCTTCTCGACTTGCTCATCTGCGTCGCCCCAGACGACTTTCAGCTTCACGAGTGGCTCTTCATCACCGACACCATAGAAGCAGTCTACCGCTCGTCCACGTATCAGCCCATAGCGCTTGTGGACGAGCTCTCTGAGGAGTTGGGTAGCTTCAGCACCCACGGTGCCTTGCAAACGGATACGGAGGCGCATGTGGCGGCGAGCGGCCCTCATAGACGGCCGCTTCTCGGGCCAGGTGGTATCAACGATGATGTTAGCCTGGAGAGAAAGGATGAGCTAGTGGCCAAGATTTTACGCCCGTTCTTTGGGCAACTGAGCATCTATGCGTTTGAGTCTACGTATGCCATGGGAGCGCTGGATAGAGAGGCTTGTATTGAGGGGTTGTTGAAGGATCTGTTTGACGAGAGGACTATGGTGAGGGCACTGTGAGTGTGGATAATACAAAAAAATAATATTATTGCAATGGGACCCATGAATTTGATGCGACGGTGTGACTAAGTCCAGAATTTCAAGCTGCCAGCCTGTAGTGTAGTGGTGGCCGCTATGGCGCCATGGGTCATCTTCGCGATTGATTGATTCCAAATCATGCCCAGTCTTGTCACGCCATCACAAAGCAACCCTGCAAGACGGCACGAACCACTTGCAACCAAGTTACATTCGAATGCGAAGGCTCATTAACGTGTCTCTTTGTCACCGCTCTCGTGTCCACTCGGCCGACTTTTCTCCTCTCTATCGCCCCTCTCGTCTCGTGGCACCAGGATTCCCCGTCCAAAAAAAGACGGGTTGTAAATCACGCCACCTCCGGGTTTTAAACGCCCAGAAACCAAAAAAAGAAAAAGAATTCTCCCAAAGATGGCGGAAATCAAGCCCACAGCGAGCCCTCGGACGGGCCCAGCACCCTAGCAATGATGCTCTCAAAGGCAAGCCTCTCAATGACGGCGCCGTACATGACGCAGCGCACGACGCCGTTGAACTCGCGCTGCAGCGTGTCGAGCACGGCGCCGCCGAGCAGCACCTCGACGGGGTACCGGCTCGCCAGCTCGAACCACGCCTGGACGGGCGTGATCTCGAGGTCGCCCGGGTTGAGCGAGGCGGCGAGCCCGTGCAGCGACTCGAGCGTGATGCCCGACGCGCCCCATTGGAAGCTGGGCCGCGGCGCCGCCTTGCCGGGCTTCTTGGCCGCGAGGGCGGCGCGGCCGGCGTAGACGCTCTCGGGCGCCGGGGCCATGCAGTACGCGCTCGCCATGAGCGTGTGGCCCCTTTCCGACTCGGAGCAGAGGCCCGGGTCGTGCAGGTGGAAGTCGCCCATGAAGAAGTGGTCCCAGCAGCAGTGCTCGAGGCTGTCCGTCCGGCGTAAGCACATGTACAATTACGATTGCGCCAAGGGGAAGGGAAAAGGAGTCACGTACCCGAGGATAAAGTTGACGGCGCGCTGCTCCTGCTCCCACGTCAGGGCGACACCGGCCACGGTCCGGGGCGGCGGCGAGGCGGCGGCGCTGGCGCCCGACGAGTTGGAGCTGATGTGGAAGCAGGGCGCGCCGAGGGCGGCGTCCATGCTCAGCGTGACCGTCAGGTCGTCGACGTCAATGGCGCCGAAGAGCTCGGGCGACTCCTCGGCGGCGGCGGGAGTGTCGACGGGCCCGGCGTCGAGGCGCATCTGCTGCTGCATCGCCGCCGCCGTCGTCATGGCCAGCGGCAGGCCGGCGGTCTCGAGGGCCTCCCGGATCAGAAAGTTCTCCTTGAACAGCGCGGCCGTCTCCTTCTCCGTGAGGGAGACGAGGTCGCGCAGCTCCGAGACGTCAATCTCGAGCTGCTTGATGTAGTTTGCCTTGCGCTGGCGGTGCTGGATCTGCGCGCGGCGCACCTGCGCGCGTCGCAGCTGGGCCTTGTCCTTGTCCGGCTTGGGCTGCTCGGCGGCGTCTGCGGATGCTTTGGCTGGCTTGTTAGCATGCTTGGAGACTCGGGGGAGGGACGGCTTGGTGAGGAACGGCATTGGATGTGAATTTGAAGGCTGTCTGTGATGCCGGACACTCAAGGTGGCAACTGTGCATGGAATGTTTTGTTTCCGCAAAGAAAGAGTATCTGTAGATTGGGGGGGAATTGATAAAAGAAGAGTTCCATGTCTTTCATATAAAACAGAAAAAACAAATCATAAAATAATAGGAGAAATGAGCAACATGGTCATGTTGGAATCATGCGGATTCCTCAACACCATCATGACAAATCACCCCGGGCGCCATGTACGACAAATCACACCAGCCCACCAACGCATACGCGCACACGCATGAGATGCGGCCCGCGCAGAGCAGGGACCTCGGGGACTTCGAATGTTTGACAGAAAAACATGCTGGGACAGGCACGTACATGGATCTGCAGCCGCGGCCGCTCCCTCAGGCGTGGCCGCCGCCGAGGGCTTCCCGCGAAGCTTCTGCTTGCCCTTCCTCCAAAAGGACGTGAAGGAGGGCCTGCTCGCGTCTTCGCTCATGGCGTCGGTCATAGGTTCCCTCCCCGGGCGTATATACAAATCTACCAACGGCTCCCTCTGGGTTTGGGCCAGGTGAACATTCGCCGGTGCCTGCGTGATGTGCGTGGACGGGCCGGCAGCCGCGAGACGATGGTCCACCGAGGACTGTACGAAGAGGTCTGGTTCAGATCAACCAGGCGGCTGGATGTTCATGTGTCGTGGCGGAAACGGGTTGGCGTGAAACTTGACAGTTAAATGCGGAGTATCGGTCGGTGAGCGGTCCGTCTTGACCACTTCTCGCTTTTTCTCTCTCTCTCCCTCTCTCTCTCTTTTTTTTTTTTTGCCCACCCCGATTCATGCTCAGCCACCAATTCAAGTCTCTGCAGATCGGATCTTGCCCGCCGACTAGAGCAGCCGGTGGATCCCCATTTGGAAGCTCCATGTAATGTACATATACGTCTCTTTTTATATCGGCAGATGCAACCCACAAAATACTCAACTTTGATGCACGCTTGATTTGACGCCTGGCTTTACTGCAATTATACCAGGCATCTTGCTCTACAGAAAAATTCTGCTCATTGCAAGCCACGGTCAACCAAAATTCAACACTTTTATTTTGCGCTACAAGATCCACGCCCTGTGTGTGCTCATATTCGAATGACATCTTCCCAACTCCTCGCTGATGCTAAATAGTGCCATCCCTAAAGCAAGGGGTATCATGTACCCAAGGATGGAAACAAAAAATACAGAGCAAAAATATTCGCACACACCACCATACTCGCTACTCAATAGTGATCACCGTCAGTGTCCGTTGCTGTCTCCTCCACCAACTCCTCGTTGTCGTCCTCCTCTTCCATGCCATCGCTCTCGTCATCATCGTCGTTATCTTGGTTCAGGCCAGGCACCGACTTCCAGTGCACGTAGTCATCCGCAAGCCATCGCTTGCTGATCGGCAGCTGGTATGGATCAAACGGGAAGTATGGGTCGAGCTGATGATAGCTCTCCCCTTGCCCTTCGTATCCGGCATCTCGCAATGCGCCACCCGTAGAGTACGTCGCCGAAAGGAATTGGGTCAACCGGACGCGCTTATTGCTCTCCACCAACGGATAAATATAAACGAAGTTTAGGCGATGTGCTAGCTTGGCAAACTCATCCACGATTACAGGCGCGCACACCTTGAGCGGATTGAGTTTGCCAAAGATTTGCACTGAGAGATCTTTTCTTGAAGTTCCAATCCATTCCAAATCCTGCCCAATGTAGGATGCCGGATCCTCCGGGTCCACGACTTCGGGGGCAGACACTACCAAGTCTTGCCATCTGAAGCAGAAAATGTAGAGCGTAGCTTGAACAAGGGAATAGTATGGGTGAAATCTCTTCAAGTCTGGTCCGCGGCACAACGGCTCGTACTTTCTTCTGTACTGCTCCAGATGATGAAGGAGCAGTGTGAACATGGTTCGCACCAAGCCAGGTGGGACATGCGCTCCGCGAGCCACAAAACTCGCCAGATAGGCTGCGGCGGCTTGCTTCAAAACGTTTGGCGTGTTTGATTGAAATGCAGTGGCCATAAGCTGGCCACAGAACGCATCGATGAGACGCTCGTGTCGTTGCGCGAAATGGAATATGAGAAACTGCGTGTGTCTTGATTTATACGTAGGTAATACCATGTGGTCGAATTCGCGAAGAATCGTGGTAAACATGTCGAATGCGTTGTCGGACCCAGGATTTACAAAGTGTGGGCTGTAGACGCTAAAAAGTGTATCCAGAACCGCATCCATCTTCTCTACACTGTCCTTAACAGCCTTAATCCGCGCCGCTTCTTGGTCGTAATCAAGATCTTCGCTGTCGATTGACTCGTTGTCGCTGTCGTCAGAATCATCATCCTCCCAGGCCGACGGCTGTCGCTGATTCTCCCGCAGCGCGTACATAACGGCTGCGGTAACGTCATCATCCAAGTCTTCTAGGTCCACCTGCATCTGGGAATCGATTTTAACGACTCGGTTCAAGATGAGGTCCAGGATCTCATCTTGCAAATCAGGCACGTATTTCTTGACTTGAAGCAGGTTGTGGATATAGGCCATGTGGACTCGGACCGATTCGTCGGGGAAGGGGAACTTGGAGCTGAGCAAGTTCTCCAGCACTGCCACCGCGGATGGGAACATCTGCAGGATATATTCGATGCCAGAGTGTAGCCGATCACGCATTATGGCCCTGCTCACCTCGGGGAAATCTGGTACGGACCAGGCGGAGGGTCGACTGTCGCGAAATTTTTCCACCATCATTGACAGGACGGGTACGAGGTAAGACCCTTGCGCACTGACAAGGGCAGCCAAGAAGTGCGTAAAAACCTTTGCGAAGGCGGCGTCTCGTCCCAGCCAAGAGCACTGCAATATTGTCCTCACCAAACCGCTGCATTCTTTCCCTTTCAGAATAGGTATGCAGCTCGTCAAAGCCATAACATAAACTTGGAGTTCGTATGGTTTCAAAGTATCATCGTCTTCTCCTACCACTGGAGGCAGGTACCTTTGTCTGTCCTTGGCAAATAACTCCTTCAGCATGTCGTACTGGCCGCCATTGCCGCGGAGATGGTCCTCCAGGGCGGCCCGTACTTCCAATTTGACGTCGTCCATTGTTCTGCGGCCAACTTCGTACGTTACATTTCGAATGTCGTCAAAAAAAACTTTGCGTCGCTTTGTTGGGCTGTCGGGCGGCGCTACAGATGTAGAATCGGTCTCGTCGTGCACCTCTTTCCTTCTCCCCAATACAGAAGCGGGTTTCAGAATAGACTTGACAGGCGTTGCGGTTCGTGGTATGTGACCAGGTAAGGCCCTGGTGTTTGGGGTGAATGGTCGCATCAAGATGGCGATGGCTCGATGCGACACATTCACTAAAAAATCTTGGGCAGAAAGAGCCGAGTTTCTATAGCAACTCTAGCGATGCGCAATCAAGGTATGTTCATGGCACAAGAAGCACGAACTGTGGCGACACATTAAGATACGGGATGCCTATCGTCTGGGGATATCATGGAACGCAATCACTGGCCAGCATCAAGGGATGATCCGACCGTGGTAAATGAAATATTGAAGCGGAGAAGGTGGAAGGCGACGTCAATGATGTTGGAGATGTGGGACAGTTTTTTTTTTCTGCAGAGGGCGGCGGTGGGAAGATTTTCACCGTGAAAAGTGGGCCCTGCACGTGCCTCTCGACTACCATCTTGGTCGCCACTCAGAGGTCAGAGGTCGAACTGAAACTGCCAGATTTAACATGGTGAATACATCTGGTGCTGGCTATGTATCTATAAACATGTCATCTTTTTTTCGGCCTTTTCATGTTGGTCCTGTAATTTTCTTCTAGTCGAGTTTGTCTTTAGCTGCATCCTTCTCTGTGTCCCCTGGATCTCGGCCACGATACTAATCCCCCAGACCGGTATTAACCAAAGTACGGAGTTATGGTTCGTGCGCACCGTCAAATGTTGACCCACACGGTGGCTTGCCAACGTTGAACTTGGCTTGCGTACTCCGCACCCAAGCCAAGTACGACACTGAAGTACTACTCCGTATCCCTTTGGGTGTTCGAAGGTGCCGATTTCGTACCGGACCTATTTTGTCTGAGATACCTGGTAGGTACTTGCTAGTACCTTTAATATATATTAAATTATTTAATAAAAATATGTCTTTTTATATATAGAGAGATAAGTAGTACTTATATTTTTATATAATCTTTTAGTAGATTAATCTCCTTGTTCGGTACGAAATAGGCACCTTCAAACATCCAAAGGGATACATACTCCGTCATACCACACGCTCTGCAACGTGTGGATACCATGCAACGCTTCAATGATGAAAAGCCCAGTTTGGCCCGGCAAACAACCTCTACGGTAAGGATTCAGCTTACCGATTCATTCCTCGAATAACAGTCAGGAACGTTTCACCCGTTATTCTTCAAAATTTGTCACGGAAACGCATCAAGTTATCCACAATAAGTACTAGTCTAAAACCCTCTCTATCCCAAACTGTCAAATCCGCGCTAGGCTCTGTCAAGTCTGTCGACCATGTGCACTTAATAATTGTGCTTATTGAAGCTGGCTGAGGCTCTATTACCAGAAGTTCCTTCCCATCAGCAAAAGAAGGCATCGAGGCCAGTTTGAAGCAAAACATGTTTTCCAGCCCACGTTTCGTTACATAGTTGTAACCTCTGCGCTGCTAAGCCCTAATTGATTCCCAAATAAAATTTGACGTATACCATAGGCGCCGCCTATACTTTTACAATTGCTAATCGCCCCCCAAGAAGAAGAAGAAAAGGAACAAAACTAGGAAATGAAAAAAAAAAAAAATATCCCCTAGGACGAGCCAGGGGTTGCTGTACGGATATTTTCGTGCCTTGGGAGTTGGCAGCATTCGGCCTAAGAAGGTCCGGGGGTTCTGGTTCTCATAGCGTTCGTTACAGCATTGCCAATCTCAGTTGAAGAATTTGCGTGAGGGTGGCGTTCTAGTAGCCATCTCCGGCTGCAGCCCCGTTATGGCCGGCATGTT